TATGGCTCTCTGGGTGGCCTTCCAGAGGGTCTGAAGGGGGTGGCGGGAGGAGAGCTTCAGCAGTGTCTTCCAGCCTGCCCACCCTCGCTGAGAGTCTGGTGCCAAGAGCTGGGGGCTAAGGACGGTGATGGGCGTTCTCCCAGCCTGAGGTGAGGCAGAGCCGGCAGGGAATGAGATGTTCCAGAAGCAGGAACCAGCAGCCTGCCCTCGGGCCCTGGGGTCAGGCTGAGGGGAGTCAGTAGGGGGTCTGACCCCTAGAAGAGAAGAGCAGCTCCCGGGCCCCCTCCATCTGGGGGGGGCCATGAGCGTCCTGCGGAATGCACCCTGGATGCCAAAGGCAAGTCACTCCGGAGCTCCGGCCAAGGTTAGCGGGGTCTCGGGCAACGCTAGTGGGCAGCGGGGAGCGAGTGTCCAGGGCTCGGAGGGACAAAAGCACGGATGCTGGGGGACGTCCTGCGGGATGTGTCCTGGGATGGCCCAAGCCAGGAAGCCAAGAGGGCTCAGGAAACCAGAAGCTGATGCCCTTCTGGAGCGGGAAGATGAGGCAACAAGATCTCGGTAGCAGAATGCAGAGCAACACACAGGAAGCCGTGGCGGGAGAGCTGGCACTGCAGGGCCGCCTGCCAGCTAGCCCACCTCGGGGCTTCGGCGGGCATCTGAGAGCGCAGCAGCTCCAGGGTCTGCTCAGGAGGCCCCGCCTCACTTCCCAGAGTTCTCAGCCAAGGTGCACGGTGCCTGACTGAGGGAGCAGGGGTTGAGAGGAGCAGACGAAGTTTGAAGTTTGGGAGAAACAGCTAACAATGGGCCTATGAGTCTCTTCCCCTTTCTAGAACCCAGTTTTCTCCATTGTGAAATAAGGGTGCTAAACCTATAGTCTACAGAGCTCCCCCTCCCCAGCTCTGATATTTTGGGATTCTGTGATTATTTAAAAATAAATTAGGGAGACCATGGATCTAGATTATTGCACTGAGCAGATTCATCTGTGTTGTCACAAGTGACAAGATTTCTTTCTTTTTTTAGCTGAATAGTATTTGTGTGTGTGTGTGTGTGTATTTATATGCCGCAGTGTCTTTATCCATTCAGCTGTTGAGGGTCACTAAGGTGGGTTCCAGCTATTGTGAGCGGGGCTGCAATGAGCCTGGAGTGCAGGCATCATATTGACAGACAGATTTCATCACTTTCAGATAGGCCCTCAGTAGTGGGGTTGCTGGAACCTGTGATACTGCTATTTTAGGATTTTGAGGAACCTCGGGAAATACTGTTTTCCATAGTAGCTGTACAATGTACATTCCCGCCAACAATGCACAGTTTCCCTTTTCTCCAAGCACTTACCCCTAACAAAGTCAAGTGCATAGAAGTGGAGAAGAGAGAATGGTGGCTGCCAGGGCCTGGTGGCGTCAAGTCTCGGTTGTGCAAGGGAAGTAAGGCCTGGTGGTCTGCTCTGCGGTGTGCAGACCCTAATGAATAACAACATACTGTATACTTGAAAATTGCTAACAGCTTAGCTCTTAAATGCTCTCACAACGAAGAAAGTATTTGAGGTGACAAATACTAAATACTCCAAAATATTGCTGAAAAAAATGTGTTTTCATTCCATTTGCCATAACTTTCTGAAGTGCCTTTGTATATTAACTAGCTTTATTCAATCATTTCATGATGTATACATATATCAAACATCATGCTGTGCCATGTAAAGATATACATTTTTTGAAAAGATGTATTTATTTGAAAGCCAGAGTGACAGAGAGAGAGAGGGAGAGAGACAGGGCAAGAGAGAGAGAAAGATCTTCCATCTGCTGGTTCACTCCCCAAGTGGCCTCAATGACTGGAGTTGGGCCAGGCGGAAACCAGGAACCCAGAGCTTCTTCCAGGTCTACCATGTGGGTGCAGGGGCCCAAGCACTTGGGCCATCTCCCACTGCTTTCCCAAGCACATTAGCAGGGAGCTGGATCAAAAGTAGAGCAGTTGGGCATAAGCAGGATGCCAGAATCAGAGGCAGTGGCTTTTACCCCCTACACCGGCAATGCTGGCCCTTCCATTTTTTGTCAATTATACTTTTGAAAAGTTGGGAGGAACTAGTGCTGTGGCGCAGTGGGCTAAGCCTCTGCCAGCAGCACCAGTATCCTATATGGGCACCGGTTCATGTCCCAGGTGCACCACTTCCGATCCAGCTCCCTCTGTGGCCTGGGAAAGCAGTGGAAGATGGCCTAAGCCTTTGGGCCCCTGTACCTGCGTGGGAGACCCGCAAGAAGTTTCTGGCTCTTGACTTCTGGTTGGTCCAGTTCCTACAGTTGTGGCCATTTGGGGAGTGAACTAGCAGATGGAAGACTTCTCTCTGTCTCTCCCTCTCTCTGTAATTTTACCTCTCAAATAAATAAATAAAATCTTAAAAAAAAAAAAAAGTTGAAGGAAGAGAGAAGGGGAGGTGGGCCAGCCGGCAGGCTTAAACTATAAAAAACAACAAAGAGGAGTAGCAGTGTAAGGAAGAAATTCTTCAAGAGAAATAGCACAGCACAGCAGCGGGGAGACTGGCCACTCTCAGGTGATAAGCTTTGCAGAATGGGATGGAACTTTTGAAGGTAGTGCCTTTGGGGCACAAAGAGGAGCTAATTTCTCAAGGCTCAGGACTTCATCAATCCTCACTCTATCACAGGAGGCCCCGGGCTGATTGGAGCCGTTTGACTTGAAGCCCAGATGTTGCTTTGTAGATGCCCAGAAGACCAGGTCCCCTACCCCATAGAGCGCAAATCCAAGAACAGAAGCCCCATGAGCCTTTGGGACACTGTCCATAAAACAGAGCCGAGAATGTCCTGGGCTTGAGGCCTTTGGCAAAGCCTGCAACTCAGGGCTGAGTGGGGCAGGGCCAGCCCAGGCAGGAAGATTGATGGCAGGGATTGAATATTTCATCAGTGGAATATTGTGTGTTTTCCAAAACCAAATGGAATGTCATTTTTTTTTCCCAAGAGAGATGGGGGACGTCACAGTCCTCGTTTCCCATTCAAACCACATATTCCATGGCAAACAAGATAAATGGGAGTAGGAGTTTCCAGGGGAAGGGGGAGAGGTAGAAAGGGAGACGGAAGATCCTGCCTCGCTTTGTCCTCTCCCCGCCAGTCTGGCCCTAAGTTGCCGCCTCCTTCGTCACCCAGTACTTGAACCCACGCTCCCCAGGACCTTTCCAGCTGCCAACTGGACCAACACCTCTTCCCCCAACCTCTGTACGGTCTCTGCACCTCAAGGAGATCAAATCACAAGTTCTCCTAATCCACACTTCTGGATCTCCCTCCATGTTCTTAGTCTAGGATCTCGTTTTCTTTGGGAATGCCTTCCTTTGGTCTTACTCAAGTCCATGTTGCTGCAAATGAAGGTCGTGTCCTTTCGCTGCTGGCTTTCGCGGGAGTGAACTGTGAGTGGCCTCCCTCCTCGGGAAAAGCAGACGCTCTGCCTCTTCTTCCTATGAAAGTCTTCAGGCTGGAGTGCTTCACAAACCCTGGATCTAGCCCATCCTCTTTAATGCATTATTGGCCTTGCAAATGGAACTATTTGATTAGTGCTGGAATGGTGAGAGGCCCCTTCCTTTCTCAATACCCTATTACATGCTCCAAGGCCACCCACATGCTCTGCTACTTTGCATTTGCCCTGCAATCTTTCATGCCAGTTGACTTTTCATCTCCAAATCCCTTTTCACATTAAACACAAACCCACACACTCTGTCCCATTTTCCTTTGAAATAAATCATAAGCCCATGCCAGAAACGACTCAGGGTGTTCTCTGGAATTTGTAAACAGCATTAAAGTCTTGTGGGAAATGTCACAGAGTGTTGGTCTGAATTTATTAAGTAATTTCTCAGCTTAAAATATATCTTTCCAGCCTGCTGTCTGACAACATTTACCTCTAATGGAATTTTATCCACTCTTGATCACTAAGCACACTCCCATCCCAGAGAGCAGAATCCCAAGCTCCTCCCGTGGCGCGCGGCCGGCTGGATTTCCGGCACATTTGCCATGCTCCAGCCTTGCAGCAGCCACATGGGCTCTGGGAGTGCCTGGCTACTCTTTCTGAGCGTGCCAGCATGGCATTACCTTGCGCACACGTGGGTGTAATGGAACTCACCAGCGAGTTATTTACAGCCACATCCAGTCCCGCCCGTGGCACAACCAGGGCAGGTCTCGGGGAAGGTATTTTAGTCCGCCAATATCCATGAGTCCCCATCCACCCCAAACAAGCGTGCTCTTTAAAATAAAACCATTAATTGCTGCACAAAATAGCTTCAAGACAAGTTCCCTCATCTGCCTCCTCTTCATTTTTTTTTTTGTTTAGGATTTATTTGTTTATTCTAAAGACAGAACGATTGGGAGAGAAAGGAAGAGACAGACAGAGAGGTCTTCCAGGCACTGGTTCACTCCCCCAAGCGCCGCAATGACTGGGGTTGGGCCAGGTCAAAGTCAGGAGCTTGGAACTCCATCAGGCTCTCCCATGTGGGTGGCAGGGAAACAAGTACTTGGGCCATTTCCACTGCTTTCCCAGTTACATTAGCAGGAGCTGGATCAGAAGCAAAGCACCAGGACTTGAACCAGTCGGTGCTTACATGGGATGCCGGCACCACAGTGCCAGCCCCTGCCTCCTCTTCTTCAACCAACTGTCGCCTTTGGAGCCCTTTATGGAGATGTTGTCACTGTCCTTGGGTGATTTTGAACTCAGTGCACTATACTACACGGCTGTCAGCTTACGTCCTTCCTAGATCTGTCCCAGGCACCACTGCCCGTCTGCGGCCTCAGGACCCTGAGTTCCAGCGCCCTTCTCAGGTGCTGCACCAGCCAGCCAGCAGCATCTCTTGGAGTCTCAGTTGGCCATGGATGCCGAGCTCCGGCTGCAGGGTAATTAATCCTGGGCCTTGTGGTGACTCTGAGTGTCAGTTTTTCTCTATTCTACAGCACATGGAAGATAGGATCACATATCCTAGAATCAGACAGAGTTGGACTCCAAGCCCTGCCACTTACTTGCTCTGTGACCTTGGCCAGTTGCTTGGCTACTCCCTGCTTCAGATGATATGAGCGCCTGCCTCCAGGAGTTATCCTGAAAAGCAAAGTAGTCTGTGTAAAACATAGGACAGTGCCTGGTTATTATTCTTAAATAATCAGTATCTAACCATAAGTGTTATCTAACTATTAAAATGTTTGTTATTTGTTGTCTCACTGGTAGTGCGCCCTTTGCTTCTCTTCTTTAGACACACCCATTCTTCGGTCTTTGCAAACTACTGACGGGTGATGGATGGCTAAGAAGAGGTTCTGTAAGAGGCTGCCCACACTGAGATGCAGCCAATGCTTGCCTCTGACTGGGGCTCTCCTGTGCTCGCTGCTTTGAGGATGCCAGGACACGTTCAGCTCTCAAGAGCATTGCATTTCGGGACCTGAAGGTGAGCTTTCCACCCTGTCTTCCTCCCAAGAGGCAGCCAGGAGCCCCCTCTTCCCATGGGCTAGGCCAGCAGCTCTGGGGTTCTGAGTGTGGAGCCAGGTTAGTGGGGGTGGGAGGTCTTAGCAGAAACCCAGACTTGTTTCAGCACTAAACCTCACAACAGAAGTTAAAACAACAGTCAATCAGAATAATTACAAAGGCACCCCCCCCCGCAAAAAAAACAAAGAGGAAACCTGAGCAAAATATAAATGAATTGAAAGCAACAGGCTAGGTTCAGAGCCAAATATAGAATTTGAAATTTCAAAGTGCTTCTATTAGAAACTTTGTTTTGTCCTGGAACATATGTTCTATCTGCCAGTGCATCCCTCTCTTGTTCTAAGAATATCCTTGCAAAAGACACAGGGACCACAGGGGCACCTGCTCGAAGTTTCCTTTGGGCTTCCTTTGTACATGGACTCGAGAACGTCCTCATCCTCTGTTTGACAACATCACCTGAAACATGCTAAGATTAATTCTACGACTTTTCTTCACCCCACATTTTAACTCGGGAAGATGTGGGCGGCATCCTTGTTCCTTGAGGAGATTTGCAAACTTGATTAAACTCCCTGGCAATGCATTTGCAGACTCACGCTGGGTCAGGAACGTGTGGATTCCACCCTCACTTTCTTTTCCCAGCCTTGCAGGGTGGCTCTGCAACCTGGCGTCTCTTTTGAGTCAGCTGGGAGATACAAATAAGCCGTACATTTGTTTGCTTTATCCTTTGGCTTTCTAAGCAAATGTAAGGAATTAAGGGACTATTTCAAATGTTCATTCTGTCCCCGAAGCCCTGCTTAAAGCAGCGGAATGAGAGAATACTCCTGCATGACAAGCCCATCATGCAGGTAGAAGGTGGGCAGGACAGCCAGAACGAGGAAGCCTGACCCAGAGGAGTCAGTACCTTCCACAGGGCTGCCAGCGCCAACAGCTAATGAGCAAAACTACAGAAACAACAGCGAGCAGGAAGACAGGTAGGACGGTCACACGCAAGCAGGCCAGAGCTGAAAATAAGCCCAGGATTAATTATAAATGAGCTACACCTCCCAGCTCAAATTAAATAGTCCATTTTGCATTTGACATTTACAAGTATTTTTGTTAGTTGCCATTTGTGTGTCTGTGTGTGTGTGTGCTTTCAGAATTCTACTTGTATTTTTTCCACATTCATTAGGAAATGTCCTTTTCTTTCAAAAAAATTTGATTTTAAAAAATTCATGTGCTATTTCCCGTCAGTAGAGTTGGTTTTGCAATTCAGGCTCCTGGAGAAGTTGTTCTTGCTCTGGGTCTAGCTCAGAGGCCCCAGCAGCCTCTGGGGCAGGAAGGTGGGGCATATGCATTGGTCCACACTTGTTGGTTGAGCATGGAGGCCTCTAGAGTTTCAGAACCTTCACCCCAGGCAATGGCTCTGTCTCCCTGTCTACCTTGGGAGCCCGGTACATTTGGTTTTGGAAACACACAATATTCTGTGAGGGCTGTCCCTCTCTCACATCTCCCTTTTGTTCACACTTGGGAACCCTTTAAAATAGAAGCCAAGCCACCTGGTTAGTAAGAAGAACCACACCCTCAACCACATCCCACATGGGCTCTGCTGCTCCACTTTTGATCCAGCTTCCTGCTAATGAACTTGGGAAAGCAGCAGGGGATGGCCCAAGTGATTGGGCCTCTGCACACACGTGGCAGTTGATTATGAACACAGGTCAACCTGGGATTGGGAGCAAGAGTGAGAAAGTCCTATCTGGACACCCGTCAAGGAGTTTTAGGCAGTGAAAGCTAGGACTACAGAGGTAGAACAGGCTTTGTCCATAGCAATGAGTCCTGATCAGAATGCTAAACAATGGATAGGATGGGGAGGAGGTGCGGACAGGAACAGGAAGGTGGGCTGCAGGCAGAGAGAAGGCCACAACTGGAGACTGTGAGGCCATTATCAGAGTTCCTCTCTTCACAGTAGTAAGATGCTGATTAAAATGGCCCTCAGCTCCCATAGGCACCATCTGGTTAAAACTCAAAGAGGAGGAATTAAAAAAAAATTGAGTCCATAAAGTTTAGTACCAACTTAATTTTTATTCATTGTGAATCAATGCAGGAACCAGAATAGACTTAGCACTTCGTCACTGAGTGTGTTTTGGAATCACGACACACTCTTGGCTGGGATCAGAAAGGTGATGAAATGAAGGAGAAGGCCCCAGGTCTTCAATTCCACTTGAGATCGTGGCTCTGCCCTTGGCAGCTCATGATAGGAACATCTCCAAGAACAGGAAGTCAGCGAAACCCAGCGGTGGGCACAGGGTGAACCAAACCTACAGGACTCATGGGGGCTTTACACAGGACCACCCTGGGACCTGGGTAATCAGGGCCTCTGCCCTTGGCTCCACAGTTCCAAGATCCCTATGTGCCAGTCCCCTCTCTCTTCTGCCCCTCCTCATAGGTGAGGGCCATAGAGTTAAGAGACATGCTCACCAGGAGCACAGTGCTCCAAAGTGCATGTGTGGGGTGCTGTTCCTACCTGTGTATACCCAGCACTCCCTGTAAGGAAGGAGCCTACATGCAGAACAGCTGGCAGGGCAGGTGTGTGCTTCTAAAGGCTGCTGGAACCACAGGGACCACTGCACGGTCTCGCAGTAGAAGTCTGAAATGACAACAATCTCCCACTTCCTGTAGCTGCAGGCAGCGGAGGTGGCCAGAGGGAACTGTCAGACACCCTGTCCTTCTGTGCGCTCTGATCTAAATTAAATGACAGTTCGGCAAGTAGAGATTTTTCATTTTGTTTGAGAATTTCCTGTCTCCATTTTTGGCTTCATTGAAGACCCCTTGGGATGTTATAAAACTAATTCTGGAATTCATTAACTACACATTTGGGATGGCGTGAACCCAAAGCTAGAGAGAGGAACTGACATTCTAAGACATGGAGGATGTGTAAAATGGGGAACCAAATGAAACAGTGGGGAGCAGCATTTTGACTAGCAGTTGAGAGGCCCACATCTCCCAGCCAAGCACCTGGGTTCAATTCCTGGCTCTAGCTCCTGATTCTAGCTTCCTGCTAAGGCAGACCCTGGGAGGCAGTGGTGATGGCTCCAGTCACTGGGATCCTTCAACCCACATGGGAGACCTGGACTGAGTCACCGGCTCTCAGCTTCCATCCTGGCCCAGTCTCAGACATTGTGGGTATTTGGGGAGTGAGCCAGGAGACAGAAGCTCTCTCTCTTTCTCTCTCTGACTCGCAAACAAATAAGATTTCTTTAGGAAAAAAATGAAGAGAAAGAGTGAAATAATGTCAAGAGGAGAAAATTTTCTAATGGAAGAAAAGAAGGAAGGAGGAATGGAGGGAGAGGGGAAGAGGGAGAGAGCAAGAGGGAGAGAGAGAGAGAGGGAGGGAGAGAGGGAGAGGGGGAGAGAGGAAGAGGGGGAGAGGGAGAGGGGAAGAGGGAGAGAGGGAGAGAGAGAGATGCAGGAGGGAGAGGAATAACTGAGCAAGTAAACAAGGAGTAGAGAAAAGAAGAGACAAAATAAAGGTTCTGTAAGTGAAAATCCCTTCATCTGCATGAAACAAGGATATGTTCTGTATTTCATTCAGCCTTTTTGCTGGTTGTTTTGTTTGAAGAAGCAGCGGGGACTGTCACACAGCTGTTCTCACAGCTTCTGTCACTTTGTCAAAGGCGGCCTGTGCGTCTGACTGCCGGGTGCGCCGACAGCAGCGCCGGTGGCAGGCACTCTGGCGAGCAGATGGGCCAAGTCTGCAGGCGGCACAGCCAGGGCTGGTGCCCAGTGCCCATCGCTCCCCGCAGGGCAGGAGCCCGGGGAAGGCTGCAGGGAGAGAGAAGTGCTCAAGGAGGCGGCACTTCTCTTTATTGATTTACAAAAAGAAAAGCATGGAGGGATGACCTACCGGGATGGGTCATTTTAGACATCGACTGGGCTGGATTCAGGAATACCTGGGAACCTGGCAAAGCATTATTTTGGGAGTGCCCGTGAGTTCCCGGATGAGCTCAGCCCCTGGGTGGGAAGGGCCAGTCTCCATGAGGGCAACACCCTAGGTGGGCTAGAGTAAAGAGACACTATGGAGGGCGAACTGGGGCACGGTCCCCGGCCACCCTGGACATCAGTTGCTGGTCTTTGGGCTCCAGGATTTATACCCACGTCCCCCTTGCTAGCACTCAGGCTTTCGGCCTTGATCTGAGAGCTGTGCCCTGAGCTTCCGCTGGTCTGAGTCCTGGGACTTGGACCGAGCCATGCTCCTGGCATCCCAGGGTCTCCAACCAGCAGACGACCCATCCTGCATCTTCCCAGCTGCCCCAATCATGTGAGCCAATTCCGCTGGTCAGGCCCCCTCCATCCACCTCCTGGCACATCCTGTGGATTCCCTGGCTGTAGAAAACCCCGGGTCGGATGTCCTCCCTCAACACAAACAGCACTACGTTCATTCAGTCTCAGGCCCCAGCGCTGCTGTGTCTCACCCATGCGACCTTGGGCAGTCTCCTCACCTCTGCAAGTCTCGGCTTCCCCATTCCCCATTTACAGGAAGCAGATAGCACTCCACAGGGCCTCGTAAAGATGGACTGGGGCAATAACGAGGCACACAGCCCGGAATGCAGGAGCCCTCAGCAGTTGCATTTAAAATATGTATTTGGGAA